GATACTAAAATTTTCACTTAGTTTTTATTTAAATTTTTGCAACTTACACAGACATATACATATAAGCCCACATTCAGGCTGCTGCTTTTGTATACTTAAAAAAGAACAAAACTTTGAAGTATATACAACAAGTTAGTTCACATGGTTAAAGATAAACTTACAAACATAAATATAGTTAGTAATTAAATAAGCAGCACTAATGGAAATGACAAAAATTAAATGGAAAATAATAAGTAAAGATAAAAAAGTATAATAGAAATGAAATAGAATACAATGAAAAAAAAAAAAAGTTTTACTGCATTCATATGGTCATGGCCGGTTTCCACCTATTAGCAAATATGTCTTTCTTAAGCCTCAGCCAATAAGTTACTTGTTCTATATGATAGATTTCCCAGACCTTTTCAATCCACATTTTGTATGTTGGCGGGTCAGGCTTCAACCATTTAACTGTGATGCATTTAAGAGCTGCAATCAGTAATATTTGTAGAAGGTATTTTTTCCTCTTCCAGTAATATCTTTTGGTAATAAAAAAGTACCATCTCAGGATCTTTGTTAAAGGTTTTCTGAAATACTTTTCTAAGGGCCTTGAGTGTTACTAAAATTTTCAACTCAATACTGATGTTCAGGAAAATATTCGATACTCGATACTTTTTTCAATACCACAAGGATAAAAACCAAGCCCCCAAAATTTAACAGAAATGTTTTTATTAATAAATAAAAAAACAATAAATAAATACAATAAAATGGAACAATATTTTGAGGTCGTATGCTGTGCACAATACTAAGCAAGCTTGATAAAAAAAATAACAAAAAGTGTTAAAAGTGTTCCTCTTTGGCTATGCTTTACACACATACCAATGACACTAGCCAAACGGTTAACAAACCAAAATAAAGGCTGTATTCCGGGAGGGAAGTGCAAACCTTGGGTTTAGCTGCTTAATAAGTTTTTGGAACCCACCACAGTTAAATAGGAACCTGATCCGATGTTGGTCAAACAGGGATGGTAGAGTCAGCTGTTCCGTAAAAATTCAAAAAATATCCACTGGACTTGGTTTCCAAGATTTGAAGACATTTCACCACCTCTCCAGGAAGCTTTCTCAATTCAAATGGCTTTCTCAATTCACATTTGAAAGCTTCCTGGAGAGGTGGCGAAACGTCTTCAAATCTTGGAAACCAAGTCCAGTGGATATTTTTTGAATTTTTACGGAATGACTATGACCTGGATGACTGAGAATCTTCATCAGCATAGAGTCAGCTGAGTTTGACGGTGTTGGGACGCAGGTCTACTTTTGTCTGCTTCATTCTTTGACTTCAAGAGAGAAAATAACACTTTTCAGTGGTATCGATACTTTTGACAATGAGTATCGTATCCGGATACAAGTTTTAGTTTCGATACTTTTTCAGGGTTTCCGTGGGTCGTTAAAAATCATTAAAAGTAATTAAATTATTTTATTGACATTAAAATTCATTAAATGTGTTTATTGTGGCATTTAAAATTTATTAAAAAAATGTTTTATGAAAACAATTTTGTCAGACATATTATATCGCGTTATATTTGCGTGGAACTGCTTCCGATTGATCGCAAAGCCGTATGTTCAGAAAATAAGCTTGAGTCGGAGAAAAAGCTAGAGAATGGGGGGAAAAAACTAATTTCAACAAAAGTGGCTGGAAAACTAGGAATTCGGGACATGGCTGCAGTCTGTCGACGGGTACCTGTTGGTGGCATTAAAATGATTTATAAGAGCATTAAAAAGCATTAAGTTAGAGTTATTAATTCCTGTATAAACCCTGTTTATTGAGTAACGATACTTTTGACAACCCTAGTGTGTGTATATATGAAGAACTGCATACTACTTGGATGTGAAATAATTGCCATCATGGCTTTGTCAAGCTGCTGCCTACCTTTGTGAAACAGGAAAAAGACTAATACAAAGTGAATCAAGTAGAAGTTTTTATTGCCTTCCTAGAATGGGTGACAATAGTATTGGCTCTCAAAATGGTATCGGTGCCCTATTGGTTGGTACTCGCCGATACGATACCACCATTTTAGTGCTAGATCGGGGCCCTGCCCGATACTGGTATCGGTGCAAAACTAAAAACTATACATACAAGTATGTATACACAGACTGACACTGACTGTGAAATTACCTTTGAAAAAACTTCCTACAGCTGGTAAACTGCTTGTTTTTTCAGCCAAATGCTACACATGTAGGCATTTTTACTGCGCATCTCTGTGGGAGTCGGGAATACACTTGATTACTTCAAACACTAAAGCATGTATAAAAAAAAATTATAATTTTATAGGAGATATTTGGAGCACCACCAATTACGTCTATTAGTTCTTACCATCATATTCCACTGCAATAAAATCGGAATTTATTTGAAGGCTTTTTACACTTGCTTATTGCTCTAAGAAAAGCTGTACTTTTTGTGCATTTTCTTCCTCATCTGAACACCATCCAGGATTAATATTAGATTCCCATTGAAACATAAACTTCTGGGCAGGATGGTCTGTTTTGAAGAGGTCCTCCTTCCTCTAAAAGTTCTGTTTAGGTTTGGTTTGCAGGTTGTTCTGTTTCTGCAGCTCTGGCTGTCTAACCAAGAACACTCTTGGCTCTGAGTCACGTTTAATGGCAGGCTGCCGTCATGTTAAAGCACCCCTCTGAGTCCCTGCGCTGGAACCTCTCATGAACTTCCAGACTAAACACAGCACCAAGTCTCTCATCCCAGCTCGTGTGATCTGTGTTTACTGGCTTTAAACCTCTGAGATGAACTAGATTGGGACGATGACTCTCAGCTGGCATTCTGAAGCTTTTCATCTCCTTTACTTCAGATGTTCCTCTGATCAGTTCCTAGCATCTGCAGCTTTAGTATCTTTTCCTGTCCTCCCCTTTAATTCCTGATTCCTGGGATTGCGTTGCTTTGAAATGGGTTTGTTCTGCTTCTTTTGGCAGAAAGCTGACCCACTGGGTCCAACTGCACATGAATTGTATCAAGAGCCAGAAAAATATGATGCCTGTAAAATTACTGGAAAATTAGTTTGGAGTGAATTAAATGTTTAGTCATTTATTTCTGGCGATGCTAATCTCAGCATGAGGAAGTTAAGAAGTTTGTTTTGTTGGTAAATAAGGTCAGGGCTTCGTGGACATGAGGATGGTGGAAACCAAGAGGGGGAAGCAGTTTGTGGTTGATCTGCTTTCATGAAGCGTTATCCTCAGCTGGTGTGCATGGGGCAGCTGGCAGGTTGAGCTAACAGATGTTTATA